CCCCCCCCCCCAAAAAAAAAAAACTGGGTCGAGTCACCTTAATTTGAATTATTAGAATAAATTATTAGTCTACAACATTGTTTATTAGAATCAATAATATAAAATTACAGACCCTAAATTAACTTGAAATTGTTGATTGGTTAGTTTTAAACAAAGTCTACGAGTCCTCAGCTTCTACGTTCGGGGGATTTAGATCAACTTTTGCGCCTTAGGAGGGGTAGAAATGATCAAGTTCGAGTTGGCGGCAAATCTTTGAAAAGCTTCGAACAGTGAAAATTCTGAGGAAAGAAATTTCTTACGATTGCGTTGTCATTGGAGGATATCGAACTAGGACTAAAAGGTCCTATAGAAAGATTTCCTTCCATTAACCTGCAATTGGTAGCTGGTTGAGAATATGCTTGTTTGAGTCAAAAGACCGCATAGTTTTAAGTACGAAACCAAGCTTTCCGCACTGTAGGCAAAATGACACTGATCTATTTAGTACCAGATTGTAAGTGTGTCATGGTTAAGTAAACACTCTGCTTAGCTACGACTGCAAGACCGGTTTCGGAACCAAAATGTTAGATCCTTCGTCAGTTGCTTAGGTATAGCTGTTAAAAAAAGCTCACCAAGAGAGCTAGTGCCGTAAACTAAAACTTGACTCGGTTGATTTCGCGTAGCATACAGAATCCAGCCAGTGATTGGTTCTTTAGACAGGAAGCTGATTGGATGATTTCTGTGACCTTTGTAATGTGAGGACATCTTGATCCTGTTTCAGCGTTAAGATCATGAGCTAGTGATCCAATGTATAAGATTTCCCGAAACTTTTGCCTAAAAGGCTAATTTGTCCCAAAATTAGAAGTGGAAAATCACTCGCTTCGTTGTGAGCAATAAAAAAACGTTCTGTCTGTTGGGAGTGATGTTTTGCGAAATACTTCACCGACAGGACTAGCATGTATAATTTCGAAGTGTGAAAATCACTCGGTTATTGTTGAGAGAGAAAAAAAATATCACTCAGGCTAAAAGGAGTGTTGTTGTTTAGATAATTTCGAAAATGTGTAGTAGAAAGTTGATCAGAAAATGACGTTGGATGAAAATCCTTTGTCTCATTGAAATGTACAGATGCTATCTAAAATAGAGCTAACACTTACGCGGGTAAGTAGTGAATTAACTCCGTAGAGTGTTACAATCAAAGTTATAAACAAAGTCTACAAGTCCTCATCTTCTACGTTCGCAGGATCTAGATCAACTTTTGCGGCTTAGAAGGGGTGGAAATGATACGCAGTATAAAGTTTATTGGCTCAGTTACGCTGTAATCAAATTGATATGCTTAACTTCTCAAGGAAATTAAGGCATGGGTGTTTTTTCAATTTCCCTCAAGAAGTCGAGGGGTGGTCTATATTTTGAGGATTTAGGCCTATAGCGACAAAACTTGAGTAAAATAATGAATCTCAAAAGTATATGCGATTCCGAGAAGAAGAATATGTAAATTAGGTCACGTGACTTTTAACGTCCATTTTGCGCAAAAAAACTAAAATTAAAAATAGCACTATTTTATAACAGCAGCCAGATGAACGACTAGACATCTGTGCCCGGGCTTTGTTGAATAATTCATTAAAAGTGTTAATAAACGGAATTTTGTGCTAGTACCCTGTCCTCTTATCAAACGATTTTCGAATTTCGTTGCTGTCTAAAAGATTAAATTAAAAGGCTCGGACACAGACATGATGTACCCACTAGACTCATAACTATTATGATAACTGCAATTTCCAGAAAGTAATTAAAAGTGGTGCCATATTGCCAAATAGATGTTTGTGCTAAAAATAGCCTTAATAGGCCACGTGACAATTAGTGACTCCAATCATCATTCAAAGTTGTTAAACTTATACCCAGGAAGTCTGTCCTTAAGTTATTTTGTGGTATATTGAAAGCTTAAGAATTTAGACCACCCCCTGTTTTTGAGGAATTAAATAGAAGACCCATGCCTTAATTTTCTTGAGTACAGGTCGAGCGCGGTTTTGTATCAAACGTGATCATACCTCTTTGTTACCTATATGTGACTTATTCTTGTCATTTATGTACTTAACTTTGAACTGTTGGTAAATGGGTAGCCTGAATGACTGTGACTGAGGCCTTTTCTAGGCATGTGTTGTTTTAACAGAGAAAACGCAGCAACAAAGGGAAAAAATGGTTGGCGGAAAAGATATTTAACCTGATTTCAAAAATTTATGCAAGCATCTCCAACAGATTACAGGTTAGTTTAAAACTTTTTCGTAACAACTGTTTCGATTTCTTTTGTTTGACAGGTACTGATAGAGGTTTATTTGCAGGATTTCGCGCCTGTAAATGTTTAAATAATTCCTACCGATTGAATTTGTTTGGGGTTTGCTCACCATGCGGAACATTCGGACTAAAATGTCAGGATGAGTTTGCGAATCTTTCAGTTGGCTATTGGTGGCACTGGAAAGATAAGACACACTTAGAACTGTACAGAAACTTCAGTAAAAACGTAAAGAATTTCTCCTTTACTCCTGAATTACACAAAGGAAATGACTCCGGCATTGGATACCCGTACACACTTCCTCAACCGCACAGATGTCTCATGGCAGATGTTTGTAAGGGAGGTTTGAATTCTTCATGTGAGGCTGGTTATAAAGGACCATTATGTGCAGTTTGTAGTGATGGATATTATAAACAACTGACGAAATGTAAGCTGTGCCCAACAAAAAAATGGATGATCGGACAGTGTGCAATTATTGGGGCATTAGTTATGATACTGGTTATACTTGTGGTGTGGAGAAGCAAGAAAAAGTGCAAAAAGGACGCTGGACGATCCTTCCTTGACGAGGTCCTCGGAAGGATTAAAGTTATTATTGGCTTTTATCAGGTGACGTTTGGTATCATGGAGGCGTTTTCATACATAAAATGGCCTGAAAGTCTTAATGTTATCGGACAGTTTTCCCAGGTAATGCAGATAAACATCCTTCAGATAGCTCCCCCCCACTGCATCCTTCCTGGCTTGGGAGTCGACGCATTGGGAAGTTTGCTTGCAACTATGGGGTTGAACATTGCAGCAGTCATCATCGCCCTTACTGGCCTTGCCCTTGCCTCCTGGACATCGACACGACATATGTTGAATGAAGAGGAAAAAATGAAGAAAAAAGAACGTGTTAAAGGGGTCGTAAAGAGAAGTCTGTTTTTCTTTCTTTACGTGACCTATCTGAACACTTGCCTAAAAACTGTTCAAGTCTTGCCTCTTACCTGCCACAAAATCTGCGTTGACCAAAAAGATGAAAGCTGCGTGGAGTACCTAAAGGCCGACTACAGCATTGACTGCAAAGGAGAGAGGTACAAACGATTAGTCATCGTGGGATACTGTTCCATTGTGTATGTGATTTTTCTGCCTGCTGCCGCTTTTATAGCAATTTGGAAACGACAGAGAGCGGCGAGGAAAGCTGAGGACGAAACAACAGACGACACGAATGATTTTAAAGGCCAAGGCACCATGGAAACGGGATTGCGATTCTTACACGAAAGCTACACCTCTCGTTGTTGGTATTGGGAACTGGTAGAGACATGTCGAAAGGTTATTTTGACATCCGGATTGATCCTTTTGGATAGCGAGAGCAGAGGTTACATTGGGCTAGCATTGCTTTCGTCAGGATTCTATGGGATATATTTCGCGCTAAAAAGGCCAATAAATGATCCATTCGAAAACAAGCTTATGCTGTCTTCACTTGCCGTTACGTTCGTAAACCTTGCAATAGGAGCCGTGAGCACAATTCCGAGTGAGGGTTTTGGGACATCAGTCGACCCAATAGTAGATAATCTATTGTTCAATGGCTTGGTCATTGTTGCCAACTGCTTGGTTATTGGACTCCTTGTCTGTAAGTTAATACTATCATGCATTCTATTGGTCTGTCACAAATCCTCTTACATTTTACTGCTGGGTTCATACCTTAACTGGGGCACAATGATTTGCTTGGTGAAAGTTCATGCAATGAAAGATACATAGATAACTTCATAATTAAATGAGTGCTCACGATTCAGTGCTCACGATTCTTAATCAAGAGTCAGTGTACAGCGAACCATAACAAGAAAGTTATTTGTTTATTAAATGAGTAAGAAGATATAATGAAAGTTATTTATACTTTTTTGACTTTCAATCAAAACCAAATCAAAGAGGACGGAACGGTCTTCTTAAATCAGGCCTCTATGCTCTGCGATTTACTGGCAAGTGCGGGGATAACTCAATACGAGGTTACAGGAGGTTGCCATTTTTATGTTTAAAATCAAGAATAAATTATTACCGACAAATAGATTGGAGCTCTTTCCTCGTTCACAGGCAGAATATCATATACACCAAGAGAAAGAACGTTTACGTACGGAAAACACTGACTTAGGTCTTATGGTGGAAGTTCAGTATAAGCGATAGAAATGAGATATCCCGAAAGAAAATCAAAGAAAGTATAAGGAAAAGGACTAGGAAGAGGGGGGGCTTAAATCAAGGGAAAACATTGTTGTTGTTTGGCTTCTTGAGATAACCAGGAAGGTGGTTACCGAACCTTTAAGCTACACTTGCTGTCTTGAGCGCTTGACCGGTGTTTCGGCTTGTTACAAGACTACTGAAAAGCGGTATTCTTACAGAAAAAAGGTTCGAAAACAGGTCTTCAGGTCTTTCCTCTGTTGAACCTATAAAGGCCACGTTATAATGTGAAAGAGTTTGTAATTTATTTCAGTGCAGTATCTGGCGTATATTTACCACTACGTAAAAGAATGGCGCAAGGATCCAAAGTGGTCATTTTCCTGCTGCCTGGCCTTGCTATTGCCCCTTAATCAACTACAAGGAGAAATACGTGGATTAGCTGAGAGGAACGTACTGAATCAGCAGCTACAAACTGGTAAAATGGAGATGCCATCGATTGCTAGCACTTTAAGGGACAGTGGGGCAGTTGATATTACTCTTGAAGAGCACAATGCAGAACGCGAACAAGAAGAAGAAACAGAAAACGAGTTAAGTATGATTGAAAAGGGCGTTCTTACACTCGCTAAAGTAAGTGTTCATGAGCTTCCAAGGGGAACTTATGCTCTTGAAGAGCACAATGCAGAACGCGAACAAGAAGAAGAAACAGAAAACGAGATAAGTATGGTTGAAAAGGGCGTTCGTACAATCGCTAACGTAAGTATTCATGAGCTTCCAAGGGGAACTTATGCTCTTGAGGAGCTCAATGCAGAACGCGAACAAGGAGAAGAAACAGAAAACGAGATAAGTATGATTGAAAAGGGCGTTCTTACACTCGCTAACGTAAGTGTTCATGAGCTTCCAAGGGGAACTTATGCTCTTGAAGAGCTCAATGCGGAACGCGAACAAGAAGAAGAAACAGAAAACGAGGTAAGTATGATTGAAAAGGGCGTTCGTACACCCGCTAACATAAGTGTTCATGAGCTTCCAAGGGGAGCTTATGACACCAAACTCTAATCAGGGCCAGTTATTTAACGGAGTATAGCTAGTGTTTAACAAAACCGCGTTCTCAGCCATTTTCAGTTTGCCCAACGCTTTTATCCCAACACTATTTATCGTGAAAAGTTTCATGAAAGCATAAGGTGTACACTGGAAAAGCACTTTCTTTCTTAAAATGACCCACTATGGAAGAGGTCTGGAGGTCCAAATATTTGCTAAACCGAGGCCTAAGTTACATTCCGTTTAAATAACCGACCCTAAGCATATAAACGGGTCTGAGGGCTTGAAGATGACCTTCCACGAAGTCTTCTTTCTCCTTGAAGAAGGATAAAAAGAAATTATGTAGCATTAGGTAAAGTAAGGTATAGAAGGATGCATTAGAATTTGAAATCATTTTCTCTTTTGAGCCAGTAAATATTATGAGTAGCGATGTTTCCTCTTTCCAACAGCAACATTGGTTCTAGGTTACAACTTTTCCAAGTTTTCGAATGCAAATAGCGTAAAGGAAAGTCACATTACTATAGGTACATGTACGAGATGCTTAATAGAATTAATTTATCGTTAATGATAAGGGGCTTTAATTAACTCTTAGCATAATTTAACCTATACAATCGAACCTCCCGTAAGTGACCCCCCAAAAATGCGAAGAATAAGTGGTCGCTTATAGGGTGTGGTCAGTTATGAGAGTCGAACTGCAGTCCTCTCTTAAGAGGACTGAGGAGTTCGGATACATCTGATTTTTTTGACAGAATTTATTGCATGTAATTTCAGGTTACAGTATGTGTAAATCCATGTTTTTTTTTCTAAAAGTTCTTCTCATATTCTGGGTAACGTAGAGCATACAGGGAATACAAAGATAAGACCATTGTATCAGGTAGCAGCCACTTAAAAAGGTTAATTCTAAAAAGTGATTGCGGTCGCTTACGAAAGAATCCAACTTAAAGGATTTGGATGGGAAAATTTTGGTGTTTTGGTTAAGTAGTCGCCACGACAGAATAAAGCTCAGGGAATTAATCCCCCATATAGGCCCTCCGGCATCGTGATCCCTCTAAAGTTATTTTTAGAACGTATCGGTTGTCCCGCGGATAATATTTTCTCGCGCGTTGCGTGTGGAAGCTTCGTGGAGGAGTGAAAGTGCAAAAGCGTGTCGGGAGTGCGGGAGTTGCGAAGAATGCCATACAAGAGAGGATAAAGACGGTTTATCCACTCTTAATGCGAAATGAGAATCGTTTTTGAGAGGTTTTTTTTTTAAAATTATTTGAGCATGTATCAATCGGTATTGGCATCGAGACATAGAAAATTGTCAGAAGATTCACAAAGGAAATGAAGTTTGAAATAAAGTGTTGACAGGCTAAACACGACGCACAAGCTCGGGAGTGTGAAACGAGACCGCCTTAGAGTATGCTTCAAAACAACAACGGTGTTCTTTTTTTTGGTTCTCTTAAGTACGTAGGTTATGCAGTGAATGGAGTATTTTAATTTTTTACCGAGCAAATCTTAATTTGGCCGCTCTGATGCGTCTCCTTAAGTAAGACTTAAACCAATCAAGAGCCTTTCCTCGTGTACCGACATCAGTATGTAGTCATTTCTATAATACTTTATAATTAACAGTGTCAAAGGCTGCACTTAAGTCAGGTACTGAACGAGTACTGTGACCTGTCGTAAGTTCATCACCGGCAGAATGTCCTGTTTTAGGGGCCCATTCAGGACATTTAACTTTTTTGTTCAAATTCTAACCTGCAAACCTAATCTGCAAAAGGCAAATTACACCCTCCACATTGAGTGGTCGTGGGGCATTAAGTAATTACTTTGTGGTTCACGGTGTGGTTTACACGTGATTAATTTGATCTTAGATGCAGTTGTTAAGCACTAGTTTTCTTTGACCTCTTTAAAGTCTTAAGCTTGTTCTTGCAGCCAAATAACCTTTTAGTAAAGAGTTTCTTTGGTTTCTCCATAGTACATGTATCTGAATAGCCACATGCGCCGGGTGTAAGTTTTGGTCCGCGTAAAGGTGATGATGATTTCCGGCTATGTTCTGACGCTAGACGCTGGACGCTCTTACTGTTTGCAGAATGTTGAATTCTCACGGTGAATTATGTTCAGATCCGAATTGTTGTCTAAACCGAAGCTACAACAAGAACATTCTTCAGGCGCTGATACCATCCATTTTGTTTTTCTTGATACAAGTGAGTCCTAAGACTGGAGCACGATGTCCAGTTACTGTAGTTCTTTCGTTATTAATTATTTGAAGCTTTACATTCTATGCCGACTGTACACTTTCTCCTTGAAGTTTCATTCGTCCACAAAACGTATACATGCGACTCGTTTTCCTACGACTGCAGTTTTTTAACCTAAACTACGTCTTCCGCCGTCTACGCCTTCGAACGTTGCGAAGCATTGCGTGAGACTTCGCCCACCTGTAAACGTTGGTAAAATTAAGGACATATGATTAGTTATCACTTAACCCTCTTGGGAACAACAGATCTCCGAGAAGATCTAAAAAATATATTTTGAGGGATTACGATGGGTATTAAGGGCCTATATGGGGGATTAATTCTCCGAGCTTTATCCTCTCTTGAGGTCGCACATACAGGTTAGGCTGTACTAATAGTTTTTGATCCGTTGAAAAGAAATCAGGTGGTTTTAAGCTTAGTGGCGGGATAAGTGTAACAGAGATACATAAGATTTGAGACTTACAGACTCGTTTAGTCTTGTTCTATAAAACATGCCCAGCACTCGAAACACCTTAAACACTTATTAATTTGAGAGGACAAATAACTTTAGGTTCGCCGGCACAATGCTGCAATGACAATAATGGCTGTCCGTCTCAAACCAAGTGTGATATTTCATCATAATTTTCTGGAATCTCTCAGATAGAGTAGAAATCGATCCAACCGCTGTTCTATTTTTATTCTTATTTCTAAGCCTTTTCAAAAAGTAAAACAGAAACGAACACTCGAAGGAAGAGAAAGGAGAGACTGAAATACGTCAAAAGACGTATTCATAATCAGAAACTATCAGTTGTTTCATTATACATATATACCAATCATAAACACCCGTCAAGTTGTAGGATTGTAGCCTTGAGTGTTGTAGTTTAAGTTTTGATTGTGGACGTTTTTAATGACGAAGAACTTCCAAACAATCGTGTTTGCAAGGAAACACAGTTTAGTTCATAAGACGG